TCAACAACAACAATTATGCAAATCAAGACTAACCCAATCTCAATTACAAGCATACATCACCATAATTCAACCCCATGAATCATTCCCACAACATTGCACAACAAGCATCAATTATTTCATTTCAACAATTATCACACAACACCAAAATACTTATAAACCAAACACATTATTTCCGGAATCGGCATTTCCTAAAATATTTCGAATATTCAACACATCTACAACTTAATTCGTCTTCGATCGTATCCAAAATATCGAGTTTTACCGATTAACCGTAATTTTTCCTTTCCCTTATCAGAACAACAACAACAACGAGACACATAACAACAACAACAAAACATATACTATTTCTCAGAAACATTTTCTTCCCTATTTCAACCTAAATCCTAAACTAATACCAAATCAAATGCAATAAAAACATACTAGATGTTTAGAGGAAGTTTAACCCTTGTCGATTAATCTCCGGAACAAGCTTTTCGATTTGATTCCAGAAATTTCTTATCTTCTCTTCAACTCTAGGTTTTCCTTTCTTTTCCTCTTCTGCTACTACTCTTCTGTTTTTCTATCTTACTCGTTCTTTTCTTTCTAACGTACATATATACTAACTTATATTTATATAATATAAAACTAACATATTATATAAAACTAAGTTATATAATATATATACTTACTGAAACGTAACATAACATATATATTATACTTACTTATTATTATATATATTATAAAACTAACATATATATATATATATATATATATATATATATATATATATATATATATATATATATATATATATATATATATATATATATATATATATATATATATATATATATATATATATATATATATATATATATATATATATATATATATATTATATATATATATTATATACATTACCTACTTACTGATAGTTACGTAAAACATAACTTATATAATTAATTTTTTATTTTAATAAAACTAACTTATATTATTTAATTAAACTAACTTAATAAAATTAATTAAATACTATTATAATTCAATTATTACAAATTAATCAATTAATACACACAAAATATATATACACCAAAATACAATATTATCATATAAAAAAATAATCATTTTTCGGTAAACCGAATAAACCAAAATAATCAACTATCGGATCAAATAACCGACTAAATAATTATTAATTTACTAAAATAAACATCAACCATTAATTTTTTTGGAAATAATAATATAATTACTATTAATTAAATTGGGGTGTTACAGACTTTCTGTGCATGCTTTGTGCCTTCTTCGAATAAGCCACCAAGGTGTGTCCTTAGAATGGCTATTAAGCGTGTTGAAGTGTGTACAATTGTTTAAAATGGGGCCATTGCCCAGTCAAAGCTGGCATAAAGGCAACCTATTTCTTCCGGATGCTAGAATGAAGCAAGTCAAAGCATGCGTAGAGGAGGCCATTGCCTAGGTGAAGCTAGTACAAAGGTAGTCAGTGCCTTATATGCTGAAGGCAAGATGAAGAGGGGGCCTTTGCCTTGTGGGAGCTTTGTGAATCGACGGCCAGTTTGGAGAAGTTCTTGCTCTGTGCACTGAAGGCACGCATAGAGGGATAATTTGCCTATTAGAAGCAGGAAACAAGCTTGCTCCAAGGAAAACAAATGCCCAATCGAAACAGGGATCCAACTTGCATGTAGGTAGCCATTGCATTTGTGATTCAAGCTAGCATGCAAAGCCAATGATGTAATCAAAGGAGCACTAACAAGAATCTCTTCCCCTTTGGATCGAAGGAGGCTGTTTCAAAGGGAAAACATGCCCAGTCGAAGCTGGTGTGTAGCAAACAAGCAAAAGACCAAGGCTTCAATTGAATCTTCGAAATTTGAGGCGAGCTTGGAGGAGGTTAGGCACTCAATCGAAGCCTGTCAAAATATCAACCGAAAGACACCTTGTTCATGCCAATAGAAAGATCTTGTTTATCTTCAAAAATTTTATTTTTCTTTAATCAAGTGTTTGTAAACACCTATGTAAGAGAAAAATCTTGGAAACATATTAGAGGGAAAATTTTGGGGGTACAACAGGTTTGTATTGATCCTCTAGCCGGATCTGGGAACACCATTAGGTAAATAACAAAATTGTGGAGATTGTACGGCATATACCGATATGGTTGAGACAATAACTATGTTAGTGTGACATATTTATGGGTACCAGTATCCCTTATGGCGAATTAAGGAGAATACGGGCCACTGAGTAATGTCATGAAGCACTAACGAACCTTAGAACCTTTAATTGAACAACTTGGCCATTAGGAAGTAGTGAGATAGCCAGTTTCGGTGGAAAGCTCAAAGTTGGTTGATACTCGATACTACACTCATTGAGATCGAACTTTTGGGATATTTTGGCCGCAAGAAAAGATTGACTGTGCTAAAAAATTCCCAATGAAGAAAGATCAGTGATATTGAGATTCCCTAGAACCTGATTACTTTCTAGGATAGGTTCAAACCAACTAAACTTCAAGAGGGTACTTACCTATGAAACCCATGCAAGCCTAAACCTAAGGTTTTTGTGTGCTTTATTTGTGGTTATTATTCATGTCATCATAAACATCATAACATCATAAAGCATTCTCACTAACCATTTCAAGGATTTAGGAATTTATCTTTGTTCTGTTTTGTAGGTCATGACTTCTACTCGTAGGAATACCATCCGAGTCAACTTCGTGAAAGTGCTTCCTTAACTTCAAGAGTTAGCATCAAGAGTTCCTGGAGATTCTCCTATCACCAAGAAATATGGTCGACTTCTCAATTTGGCTACCTCAAACTTCCAAGAAGAAATGACGTGTGTGCTTTTCCAATTCTTTGATCCTATGCATCATTGCTTCACCTTTCCCGACTACCAATTAGTACCTACATTAGAAGAATTCTCTCAATTGTTAGGAGTTCCTGTGCTTGATAAAATACCATTCACCGGTGTAGAAGATGCTCTAAAACCTGAAGTTATTGCCAAAGCTTTGCATTTGAAGAGATCTGACATTACGGAAAATTGGGAGACAAGAAGTGGAGTTAATGGTTTCTTAGCCAAGTTTTTGTTGGAGAAGGCTCGTTTGTTCTGGGAAGATTTGGATCTTCAGGATTTTGAGGTTATCTTGGCCCTTATAATCTATGGTTTGGTTCTATTTCCAAATCCGGACTAACTCATAGATGTGAATGCCATCAAGGTTTTTCTCTCTCGTAATCCCATACCTACTTTACTTGGAGACATTCTACAATGTTGCCACACTCGCACCATGAAGAGGATGGGAACTATTTTGTGTTACATTCCATTACTCTCTATATGGTTTATTTCACACCTACCTCGATCAATGTTGAAGAATGAGCAAGGCTTGACATGGTCTCAAAGATTAATGTCACTCACACATTATAATATTTATTGGTGTGCTCGATCTATGGAGGACCTTACTATTATTGACCGTTGTGGGGAATTCCCTAATGTCCCTCTACTTGGAATTAGGGGATGTATCACCTAAAATCCTTGTTTGGCTTTGTGATAGTTTGGGCATGCTAGGAGGGATGACCCTCATGATGCACTTGTCCAAGGAATTACATTTAACTATGAGAGCAATGTCCAAGGTTATCATCAGAGATTAATACGAGCTTGGGGCATGGTTAACAAGGTTGATAGCAAGACGTTGGGGCATAAGAACTCCATTCCTTTGGAGCCTTATCTCAAGTGGGTGCGGACTCGCGCCCAAAACCTCATGATTCCTTATGAAGCCATCCTACCTATCATTATAGAGCCTGTTGTCGAAGGAGATGTTCCATATACTATCCTTTATCCTAACATGCCTACTTATCTTGAAGATTTGCAAAGAGCTTAGATTCATCTAAAGGAAAAGCGAGACACCTTTGAAACCCAGTTCTACGCAAGTGAAAAGAAGGTTTTGGAGCTTACAAGACAGCTTCATAAAGAGCGAAGTTTGAATGCCTACATTGCACCGAAGAGGATGTGCTCGACCTTTTTGTCTTAGGAGTTTATTTTTTATTTATTGTAACCCCAAGAGGCATGTTTGTAATCAATTTGAACTTATTATGCAATTGATGTTTGTTCCTTTGGTCTAAACAAACTTAAATCTTCTAAGTCCTTGAAATCATTTGCATACACATTTTCATGCATCATAACATAAATAGGTTTTCCACAACAGGTTTCCTTATCTTTCTACTGTTTATTTTAGTAAGATGGATCTCGAACAAACAATGAAGGACTTGCAAGCACAAAATTCCAAGTTCTAAGAGACCTTACTGACCCTGGCTAAGGGGCAACAAGAGCTGATGACTATGCTAGTAGCCAAGAAGAAAACCAAAAAGAAGGCCTTCATCAACATGGGTAAGAGATTCAAAGGTCTGGTTCGTCAGGTACAGATAGTCGAAAAGTCGTCCGAGGAGGACGAAAATCAAGACGAAGAGACAAGGAGCACCCGTGCCGGGGGTGCCAATAATCAAGCTTCCGAAGATGAAGATTACTTTTATGAGCAATATCCTCTGGCTGAGGATAAATAAAAGCAGTTGGAGGATAGACTAAAGGCTGTTGAAATTCAAGTCGTGCCTGGTTTGGATTTTGGTGAGTTGGGCTTAGTACCTGGGGTCGTCATTCCCCATAAGTTTAAAATACCGGTCTTTGCCAAGTATGACGAGGTTTCCTGCCCAAAACTTCATCTAAGGTCTTACGTGCGCAAGATAAAGCCGCACACTATCGACAAAAAACTTTGGGTCCATTTCTTCCAAGAAAGTCTGGCTGAGACTCAACTAGAATGGTTCTATCAATTGGGGGATTCTCGCATCCATACATGGGAAGATCTGGCCACTACTTTTTATCATCAATATCAATATAATATCGACCTGGCACCAACTAGAGTCCAACTTCAAGGTATGACAATGGGTACTAATGAGGGGTTTAAGGAGTACACACAAAAATGGAGGGATCTTACTGGTAGGGTCTAACCACCACTAACTGACAAAGAAATAGTTGACATGTTCATGGGTACATTAACTGGCCCATTTTTCAACCTATTGATTGGAAGTTCTTTGTCTGGTTTCACCGAGTTGATACTAACTGGTGAAAGGGTAGAAAGAGACATTAAGAGTGGGAAAATTCCCATGACATCTGCTTCCGCATCCAATACTGTAAAGAAGCCCTTCCATGGAAAGAAGAAAACAAATGCTACGTATGGGGAAAGGGCCGATACCAAGAAGGATCACCGACCCTCTGTTAATGTTGTGTTAATCTCAAACCCTCCATCTGCTCAAAGACAATCATCCAACAATCAACAATCTGAAGTTCCTCGAAGACAGCTCACGAGGATAAGCATGTCACTGTCCCAAGCCTTACAACATCTTTTGAAGGCCAACTTAGTGACATTACGCGATCCACCATCCAATCCAAATATTTCATCACCTAAGTATAATCTAAATGCCAAATGTGCGTATCATTCCAACAGTCCCGAGCATAAAATTGATCAATGCTGGGCTCTGAAGAATAAGATTCAAGATCTGATAGACCATAAAACAATTGAATTTTATCCACCTGCTACTCCAAATGTGATAACCGCACCAATGCTGAATCATGGCAAAGGTGTTAATTCAATTGATGATACTACTTTCGTCTCTTCCATTGAAGATTTAACAACCCATTAACTAATGTGAAGGTTAATTTGCTGAGAGCCGGGGTGTTCCCTGGCTGTTCTAAAGATTGTGTTTGCTGTGATCAATAAGTAAATGGGTGCCAGCGGCTGAAGGAAGGTATGCAACACCTGATAGATAGCCACAGGATTCTGTTTGAGAATATTCCTACCATCAAGAGTTTGACCAACAAAGCCGAAGACTTGTCCATAATAACAATTTCTAACAAGCATTTTAGGATCCCCTCAAAGGGTCCTTTTAGAATTTCAAATGAACCAACCATTTCTACTTTAATAATCACTACCGCCGAGCTTATTCCATACTCCTATGATAAAGAGGTTCCATGGGACTATGGTGCCAAGGTTTATTATCATGGGATAAAACAAGATTCTTGGATCAACAAAGACGAATCAGATGTCACTAAAATTGCAGGTTCCAGTAAAGTAACAATAACAGGGAGAATCTTTTCCCCTGGTATTTCACCACCCACTATTACAATAACTCCCATATGCATAACCAATGATAAGTCTAGTTCCAACACTAGATGCAAAGAGAAAGAAGGTGAGCCTGCTAGGATAGGGGCACCTACCAAAGATACTGACGCTGAAGAACCCTCCGCTCGAGAGATGGATGAAATCCTGAAAATCATAAAGAAGAGTGACTTCAAAATAGTTGAGCAACTGGGGAAAACCCCCTCCAAAATTTCCATTATGTCATTGTTACTCTGTTCAGATGTTCATGCCCAGGCTCTAATCAAGTTCTTGAAGAAAGCCCATGTTACCCAAGAAACCACCGCTAACCAGTTCGAGAACTGTGTAGCAAGTTTAACGGCTGACAATGGATTAGGGTTCTCCGACACTGATTTGACTCCTATGGGAAGAAACCACAATAACGCCTTGCATGTCTCTATTGAATACAAGGGGACCACCCTGGCTCATATCCTAATTGATACTGGCTCATCTTTAAATATGTTACCTAAAGGTGCTTTAAATTGGCTAAATTATGAAAGACTGGTATTGAAGCCAAGCGATATTGTCGTAAGGGCTTTCGATGGGTCTAAGAGAATGGTTCATGGAGAGGTGGATCTCCCAATTAAAGTTGGCTCACAGATTTTCAACTCTACCTTTTATATAATGGACATACATCCCGCCTACTCTTGTTTGCTTGGACACCATTAGATCTATGGGGCACGGGCAATAGCATCCACCCTTCATCAAAAATTAAAATACCTAGTCAAGGGGAAGATCGTTACAGTTTGCAGCGAAGAAGAATTTATGGTGAGGCATCTCAATTCCTTCAAGTATGTGGAAATGGATGGTGAATTCATAGAGACTCCATTCTAGGCTTTCAAAATTGTTCCTCCTATGGTTGCCACCACCAAAATCTCTCCAACATATCCAAAGCTGATGAAGTTATACCAAGAATGGTTTCACTTAAGGACGCCTGTGCCGTGGTCGAAGATGGAAACTATTCTATCTGGGGACAACTTCCAGACATTCCATTTAAAGCAGACAATTTCGAATTGGGTTTCACCATCAAATCTCAGAAAGAAGTCATGCGCGCTCGCGTGGGAAATCCAGCTCTCCGCATCAGGAGTCATGAAGTGAACGCTGTGGAAGACTCTGATGATGAAAATACTTTTGAAGATTGGATCAACCCTACTGTCAAAGGAAAGCTCAACAACTGGCATGAAAAGGATTTCACTCCCATCTACTTCATTGAGGAGTAATTACTGTTTACTATTTTCTGTCAATTCAACAAAATTTTGTCTGTAATCTTAAATTCCAAACAATGACTTTTAAGCCATGTGCCTTGCCCGGGGCACCATGGTCCATTTGTTAAGGGTTTTGTTCATGTTCATTTATCACGGGATCATTTAATATAAACCATTGGACCTTTTGCATTCAAAAATTTGTGTTTATTGTCTTTATTTTCCTTTATTACATTTTTTCAATAGACATGTATCTTACATGCACACACACACACACACACACACACACACACACACACACACACACACTTGTAGATCTTCATCCATTCCGGATCTCATTGCCAACGACTTTACTATTACCAGTTATGACTTCTAACATCCAATTAACCAAGCCGAAGACGAAGGCGAGGACGATTGTGAAATACCAGGAGAATTAGCCAGACTTCTAATGCAAGAAGAGAAAGTTATTCAACCTCATGAAGAGCCAGTCTAAGTTACCAACTTAGGTATTGAGACAGATAGGAAAGAAGTCAAGATCGGTGCCAATGTAGAAGATGGTATCAAGTGTAGATTGGTTAAGATGTTACATGACTATGTTAAGGTGTTTGCTTGGTCGTATGGAGATATGCCAGGATTGGATACCGACATTGTGGTTCATCGTCTACCAACAAAGGAAGATTTCCCTCCTATTAAGCAAAAGGTTTGTCGTATGCGGCCATACATGTATGAAAAGATAAAGGCTGAGGTAATGAAGCAATTTGATGCAGGTTTTTTGGCTGTCACCTCTTATCCTCAATGGGTTGCGAACGTGGTCCCCGTGCCAATGAAAGATGGAAAGGTTTGCATGTGTGTGGATTATAGGGATCTGAATAGGGCAAGCTCCAAAGATGATTTCCCTCAACCTCATATTGACATTTTGGTTGATAACACCGCTCAACATAAAGTCTTCTCTTTCATGGATGGATTTTCTGGCTATAACCAAATCAAGATGGCTCCCGAAGACAGGGAGAAGACCACTATCGTTACGCAGTGGGGGCACCTTTTGCTATAAAGTCATGACGTTCGAATTAAAGAATGCAGGGGAAACATATCAAAGAGCTATGGTAGCTTTATTTCATGATATGATCCATCATGAAATAGAGGTCTATGTGGATGATATGATCGCAAGGTCGCAAACCAAATAAGAGCATCTCGATCGCCTACACAAGATATTTGAGAGGCTGAAGAAGTACAAGTTAAGGTTGAACCCTAATAAGTGCACATTTGGAGTAAGGTTTGAAAAGCTTCTAGGTTTTGTCGTCAGTGGTAAAGGCATCGAAGTTGATCCTACAAAGGTAAAATCCATTCAAGAAATTCCAGTTCCCCGCTATGAGAAGGAAGTCAGAGGATTCTTGGGTCGTTGTAATGTGGTGGGAGAACTGACTTGGGATGTTTTGCATTTGATCGCAAATGTTGCGGTTAGCAAGAGTCGCCACCGACTTTTCTTTTATCCAAAAGGAAAGGTGGAAAAGAACAGGAAAGACCTTTGAGATGATTTCTTGAGTTTGGGGGGTAAATTATGAAAATGGAAGGTGTTAGCACCCTTTTCATCCATAGTTATATATGGACTCTTAGTTGCTTGCTAGATCACTTGCTTTTGTTTGAAAATGTACTTTTGTGGTGGTTTTTGAAAGTATTTTTGAAAAGGCACCTTCGTTTAGGCAAAACTTGTAATGGTTCTCGTTCGTAAGAACGTATACAAAGTGTTGGACTTTTGAAAATATTTTAAGTTTTTAAAGTTTGTTTTTGAAAGTGGTTGGTGTTTATTTTGAAAATGAGCAAGGATGTTTGTTTTGAAAGTGAACAAGCAACTAGGAACAATCTACCTACTCAAAAGTCTTTGTTAATTTCTTCCTTCCTTTGATATTGCTATCTTACCATTGATTTGGTAAGAAGCCTTATCTTTAGATGTAAAGGGACGGGCATGAGTCATCGTATAATCATGATAACAATGTTGTAAGATATCTTAACATTTCTTTTTTGAGGGACTAAGATCATTTGAAAGGCAACATTCGTAGCGTCATCGAGGGACTATGATCTTGTATTTTTGATTGTGTTTGCTAAGATATCCCACATGCATAACATGACCATTTTTGTAAGGCAACAAGTGGAATTACCCTAAGGGTGCATGTGTGAATAGTGTGTTTGATTTGCATGCATTGTCTTTGATTAGGGTTATCTACTTGTTGATTTTATCTTTCCATACAAACCCTAATTACTAGCATTTATATGAAAGCGATAAATTGCGGAAAGCAAATTTACTACGCTATTACATCATTACGGGAGGGGGTATACAAATTTACAAATAGGGATTGCAAGAAATTAAACCTAATTATCTATTACAACCATATTGAATAATATACAAGAATTGAAAGGAATATAATGTGCAAGAATGTAAATGGAAAGGAAATAATTTTGTTTTATTTTTGTTAAGGGTTTAGTTTTGACCTAACTAAGAAAAATGATTAATTAAAAAATTAAATAAAATTAAACCTAAACTAATTAAAAAAGAAATTAAGTTAGAAAGCATTTTTAGTATTTTATTTATGAAAAGCTTTTAAGTTTAATAAAAATAATATTGGAAATTAATTAATTAAAAGAAACCTAAATTCTAAGTTAATTTTAATTAGAAAAGAAATTAACTAAACCTAAATCTAATTATTATTAAAAAAAGAAATTAAGTTTGTTTAAGAAAATGTTTGTCTTTTTTAGTTTATAAAGAAAAATAAACTATAAGTATATAAATAATAAATAAAAATGTTTTTTTTTGTATTTTTATTAATAATAATAATAATAATAATAATAAAAATAATAATAAAGATAATAAAGAAAAATAAAATAAAATAAAATATAAAAGTCATAGGGTGAAAAAGAAGTTTAAGATGTTTATTAGAAAAAACAGTTTTTTGTTGGAGTTTGGCCCAAATGGTGTTTTTTGTAATCAGCAAAAATAAAAAAAATATAAAAAAAATGGGTCTGTATTGTGTAGTGAAGTGGGGGTGAGGATCAACAAAAATGGTAGAGGCCCAGTATACTAAGCTCAGGCGCTGGTTGTGGTAAAAAGAGAGAAAATGCTGAAAAATAATGATAAAAGGCAGCGCTGGGACTTGAACTCATGACCTTGAACACAAATGCGCACTGCCTTTGCCACTGGGTGGCTGTACATCCGTTAACATAAGTGAAACAATAAATACATAACATAAGTCAAGTCCTGAAAATGACTTCATCTTCAACCTCCAGCCATGGTTCCTATAACTTGCTCATT